GTCAATAAAATATAGAAGAAGAAGAAATCTAGACGTTCATGACGATTTCGCTGACACCCAATTGGCGCGCCTTGTGTCTGTTTGCCTCACAGGTACGTTGAAGCAATTATAATAAAAAACACGGGTGGATTCCTGACACTCACAACGGGCTGTGTATTTGCTTTTAACCTAGACGTTATTTGGCCGTGACAGTCAAACGTCCAACAGTTGAGCTAAGCTAAGCGGCTATTGCTTTTGCTAGCTAACGTCGTCTAACGTTGAACACCAAAGATGTACACGAGTAACGCGAGATATTTAACTTTGCAGGACTTCCGCGTTCGCGTATACAGGCTTGAGAGGGTTCTGTTTTGTTAACTGACCTGTTAAAGCTAACATGACATAGTAGTCTTTTTCAAAAAGCAACTGTATGGTAAGATTTGCTAATCTGCATTTTATATTATATTTGGGCTGGGTTTACCACGTGTAAGCACTAGCGTATGCGGATTTTTATCTTGATTTTTTTTGTGTCTTTGGCTAAACTTTGAGAAAACCGGTGTAGCTACGTTAGGTATATGTACCAATAAAAGATCGAGCATCTTGACAACCGAAGCCGTAAACAGACCGTTTCTGTACCCTGTCTCCAAGACTTGTTTTAGAAGGTAATAATTAGTCCTGTTCATCGATAGAAACGCGCTTTGTTTATGTTTATTTGATTTCCGTCAGCCTGCTTCCCTTTCACAAAACACAGCCGATCTAGTGCGAGAGTGAAGATGAAGAGATCCAAAGGCGGTGGTGACGAGGAAGCTCCCCGGCATAATGGCTCAGCGGGCCGAAGGAAAGCAGACCAGCAGCAAAGTGACGGGGACGAGGGTGGCAGTGACATCGGTCCAGCCGACCTGCAAGACGACGACAATGACCAGGGCCTGAGGAGAGAAATAAGGAGCAAATACAGAGACCTCATCAGCTCAGTGCAACGTGAGTGACTACAGGCCAGCAGGTTTGGGGATGGCCAAAGTTGTTGATTTGTATGTATTACAAACAAATCCTTGATGTGCTTTTCTTCTTGTTTTGTTGTTCAGAGAACAGGGAAGATATGCTGAGCCCTTCAAACAACAAACTAACAGAGGTTTTAGAGGAAGCAAACAAACTTTTTAAAGATGGTAGGTCTGATACATGTAAATGAATAACACAAGCCAGCAGATCAATCCTTTAGACTTTACAGTTTTTTGGGGGGGTTTTGTGGCAGTTCGACAGGCGAGAGAAGCAGCCTTGGATGCACAGCTCCTTGTTGTGGCTACAGACCTGGGGAAGGAGAAAGCCAGCCAGCTGTTCTCCGAGGGAACCGCTTTCGATCCCACTGCTTTTGCTGAGCATCTCGTGAGTATGATTATTGTATCACGTCTGTCTTTCAGTCACCTTGCACGAGTGGTCCATACAGACCTTGCAGTTTTGTACAGTTGCAGTATTTCTGTCTGGATTTGCAACTTGAGCTGCACATGCTTTTCTTTTACCTTAAGTTATGTATAGTTTAAAAAAAAAAAGGCAAGGAGGGCAAAACAAAGCTGACAGGAGTTTGTTTAGTGGACTCATTTGATGGCCAGACACAAACCCCAGTAATCATGAATTGTTAAATATCTGTCTGTAGGGCTGTGTGATGTGATTGAAATATATCGGATGATGAAATTAAAACATCTATTGTTTCATATTGTACGCTATCATTTGTTTCGTGGTATCACAAAATACACTGTTTATGGCAATATTTTCTTAATTGTTTGGATGGTCATCGTGTGGATGCAGGCACAGAGAATACCAGCAGAAAGAGTATGGAGAGAGTTTACGGATGAGAAGCAAAAAAATAAACCTTAGACTCAAACATTAGAACAGGCTTTTACCCGCCTCACGGCTTGTAAGAAATACAAAGGAAATGGTGGCCGTTACAACTTGTATCTAAAAATATATAGTTTAATGCACTGCCCAAACACTTGACTGCAGCTGAAAACACTTCACACAAGTCGAGTTGCCCGAGATTCACAGAATTTACAGAAAATGGTGGATGAGAAATGGATTAGAAATGTCTTATATTGGGATATGAGTCATATGGCACAGCCCTATGTTTCTTTATGATAACGCGGTAGCTATAGCAGCTTTGTACTAGTTTTTTTCCTGCTCATTTAAGTGAGTTATACAGACACAAATGCTAATAAATGTAGGAAAATGTGGGATTTTAACACAACTTCCAAAGCATCACATACTGCAGTGGTCATGTGGTGATGTCTATGTTTCTCTACAGTTGTCTTTCATGGGTCTGAACCGACTAGAAGATGATGAAGACGAGCAGCAGAACACCACTAATGGCTACCTGCCACAGGACGCCTGGCACCGATTGGCCAGGAGAGCAGAGTGCTGCTTTAGGACAGCACCCTCTTTCCACTACATGTGAGTGATTTAGCAAGTCTGTTTACTAGCTGGGACTGCAGTGCCAGGGTCTTTGCCTGCCAACTAAAAATAGACTGATGTTCTGTGAAGAAGCAAATTAATAACACAGCAATTTTCTTGGGACAAGCGCACGTGGTCTTCTGCCAGTCCATAAAAGTAGAATCAGTGGTTCCAGATTTGCTGCCAGCAATCAAAGCATCCTTGAACAGCTCTTTGTCGTTTCCTAAAAACCTTCCTTTCTCTTAATTCTTTTTCTCTTCCACCGTTTGCTCCTCCTGTCTCATGGAGTGCAAATAACAAGTGCTTGAGTGATGCCAGGTTGTGTCATTTGCTGTCATAGCCTGGTTATACTCAACTTTGTACTTTTGTCTCAAATGGCAAAAGAAGTTTGTTGTTTCTACCTTAAACAGGAGGAGATTTCTTGCATATTTTACAAAGTATTTTATGGTGTTGGAATTTCTTGGCTGTTGTTTACGCAGTCTGGGATTGTGTCATTGTTGTGCCTGCTGGGGAATGTAAACACATGACACTGTCGTACCACTCATATCAGGTTGCGACACTTTTATATCGCATAAAAATTTATGCTGGTATATTATGGATGGTATGATGTGGCACCGAAATTTTACTGCAGCAGGGTAATGCTTACTCAGTCATACTCAGGCTTTTGCAGTCATGTGATGCTGTTTTGTCTGCTATTTTGAGAATTTGATGCTGTATGGTGACGTGAATAAGGTCCCAGTCACACAGTCAGCAACCCCCTGGCAACCAGCAGTCGTGACGGAGAGAGATGTGTATTTCCTGACCAGCTGGTGAATGGTTGCTGCCCGTCACATGGTGAAATTGGACACAAAGAGGTCAGCTGTTCTGCACAAATATCCTTCTTTTAATTGTTTTTCACTGGCAGATTGCTCCAGCTGCCTGTAGATTGCATGCAGGATAGCTTTTCTGTAGACACTTGCCAGCAACTCTCCGAGTGGTCATTTTTTTACTACCACGATGGAGTTAGTTGGTGAGTGTTTGCAGACAAGTTGGTGTCTTCCATGGAAACTACAAAGCAATCTGCAGGACTAAAATGATCACAAGGAGGCTTTTGGTGTGGCACCCTCTTTATGGCTGATTCAACCTACCACTCACCAATCAGTCAGGTGTCAATATGGTGGACAACTCTCAACAATGTGAGCATAATGTCATCAACGCAACCTCACCTGTGGATTTTACATATGAGAAGTTCTAAACAGAAGGCGCATTGTCAAATTATGGCGTAAGATGGAATAACACAGTGGTTTTATGTGGATACGTTTTCTGATTTTTGTTTTTTTTGTTTCTCATCCCTCTGGTTCTTTGCAGGATGGGCTCGTTCTATGCAGAACCACCTCCCCCGAAACAAAGGATAGAACGGCAAAGAAAAGCACCCAGCAAAGAAGCCAAAAGGATAATGCCTACTCAGGTAACTGAAATGACACTTCCATGGCTGTAGTTTACATGTAGTTTAAGATAAATGTAGTAGCCACCCGTCCCTGTTTCCATTTTCCACACATACACAAAGTTTCACCACATTATCCACCACATTGTTGGTATTTGGACCAAATGATCCCTGTGAATCTTCTTCTGTTGATTTGGAACCCCTGGAAGTTTATTTTAAAGCTATTATTAGTGATCTTGATTTGAAGTTGGACAGTGATGTTAAATTAGATGGTCAAATCAGAGCGGTGGTTAAGTCTAGTTTTCATCATTTAAGGCGATTGGCAACAGTCAATTTTTTTTTCTTTCTAGGCAGCACTTTGAAACAGTGATCCATGCTTTTATTTCATCCCATCTGGATTACTGCAACTCTCTTTATGTGGGAGTCAGTGAGTCGCTACTCTTGCGCCTGCGGCTGGTTCAAAATGCGGCTGCACGAATGTTAACAGGAACTTGTAAAACAGAGCATATAACCCCTCTTCTGGCCTTACTCACTGGCTGGCCGTATATTTTAAAGTTCAACTTAAAATTCTTATGTTCATTTAAAAATCTTTTCACAATCTCTCCCCACCGTACCTTTCTGAGCTTCTTCACCCCTACACACCCTGTCCGTCTCTCAAGTCAGCTGACCAGCTGCTCCTGGAAGTACTGAGATCCAGAAGGAATGTTAGGGGGACAGGGCCTTTTCTGTCGCTGCTTTAAATTATGGAATAACTTTCCCTTACATGTTAGAGAGGCCCCTTCACTGTCTGCTTTTAAAATACGTCTTTAAACGTTTTTGTTTTGGCTCTCAGCTCCAGCAAGAGAGTTTTTCTTTTAGTTATCTGACCTTTTTGATTGGTTTTTATTTCTATCTTATGTATTTTCATTATCTGACTCTACTCTGCAACAGTCCATGCCAGCTATGGTCGTTTTAAATTCCTTTATAAATAAAGATGGATGGATGTTTGCATATAACACACCGAGCATTTTAAGGAGTGAGAATAAACCTGAATAACCCATCTCCTTGTCCTGTGTAGTATGTATGAGAGCATGCATTGAATAAGTATTATTTTCTGGAGGTCATCTGTTTAAAATAAATGGCATGATTCTGTAATCTTCATCTTTCAGAGCATATCTTGACTTTTTATTATCTAATTGTATTTCTTACAAATGAAATCAACAGATTTTTAAATTTATTTTTTTAATTTTGAGGACCTATCCCACTTATTCGGTGTGTCATTAAATGTCTTTTAGCTGAAGAAAATGGAAGAGTCGCAACAAGAAGCGACAGAAAAAGAAGTGGAAAGGATTCTGGGGTACCTGAAGGGTTATTACCAAGATGATCGTGAGTTTGAAGTCGACCTCAGAGACATCGCATGGCTGTGTAAACTATTAGTTGCTCACATGTACTTTTTTCCCCTCTCCTTCTATCACAGCAACCTCATCAATATCATATTACGAGTTCGTCATTGACCCCAGCTCCTTTTCCCGGACAGTGGAGAACATCTTCCACACTTCTTTTCTGATCAGAGTAAGGCATTTACTAAAGATTTAAAGTGAACTCCAGTGCCTCCTGGTGACCATAAGCAGGCATGACAGTTTCATTTGTGTTTCAGGATGGACTGGCAAGAATGTATCTTGATGAGGAGAAATTGCCATGTATAGGTGGGATGATGTGACACTTGTACTGTTCTGACTGGGGGATAGCATAGAAAATGCCTTGAGGTAAATAATGAAATAAAACAATGTTTTCATGTTTCAGCTCCTGTAGAGGAGGGGGAGGTGGAAGCCGGAGGTTCCACCAGCCGTAAACAGTGTATCCTCTCTATCAGCCCAAAGATATGGAAGGTTAGCAGGTTTTGGCCTGAAGTGCACATTAATAAAAAGCACGGTAGCTACAATCATGATTTTGTTTTGTGCCTGTGATATTAATTGTAAAGTTTGCTTTGTCCTTCTCAGGAGCTCATAGATGCCTTCGACATCAGAGATTCAATTATTCGGCCTCCAAACACACAGAATGACTGAGACTACACCATCTTCCCCACTGAAAAACCTAAACATTGTTCTTAAACGTTTTACTTAATAAAATTCAAGTGACGTGTTATAGTTTTATCACTTGAGGTCAATGTATAATAATCGTTCTATTGCACATTTGTTTATTTTTTACTGCTTTTTAAGTTTGAATAATAAAAAAGAAATAAATAAAAGTTTTTAAAATTATTTTATTGCAACTCTTGAATATATGAATATGATACACAAAAGCCTTAACGTAATATGCTTCTGATAATCTGAGCTTTGACGTAACACATTGGTAGAAAAAGGTTCAGCTATTTAAGCTGCAGTTTGCAGGAGAAGGCTTCTCTCTGAAAAGATCTTGGCAGCACAGCTTACATTTACAAAGTTGCTTCTGAATAAGCTACAAAACATCTGGAAGAATGTTCTTTGGACAGATGAGACCATAGTAGATGTTTGGGCATAATGCACAGCACCATGACTGGCAATGATCAAACCGGATGTTAGCACAAACATCTCACACTAACTCACTATGGTGGTGGAAGATTTTTATTTCGGCTTGGTTAGCAGACACATGACTTAGGTACTTTGCATTTACTCAGTTGACCTTTAACTTCAGTGTGAGGGCATCTGTACAACAGGTAAGATTTAACCAACATGGGTAATGTAACAGGACAATGATCCCAAGCAAGCAGCAAGTATGCAACAGAAAGGCTGAAAAAGAGAAGAATGGTATTGTGGCAATGATTGAGTCAAAGTCCAGACTTCAAACTGACTGAAATGCTGTGGCGAGACCTTAAAAAAAGCAGTGCAAATGCCTGCAAACCTCAATAAAGTGAAGCAACATAAAGACAAATGGGCTAAAGTTGTTCCATAACAATGTGAAAGACTGATGAAGTCAAATAGACAGTGATTGCTTTAAGTTGCTGCTGACAGCAGTTCTACTTGCGGCTAATTTATTTTTCACAGAACTGTATATCGTTAGTGCAAGAATGTTTGCAGTAAGGATTGTTTTGATATTTTGTTCATATCCCATAATTTCCTATGACGGATTAGTCTGTCCATGACATAGGAGTCTTAAGTCTTGCGCGAATCAAGGGAAAGGGAAAGTCAGGTTTCTTTTTCCAGTGGTTTTCTTCATGTAAACCTACTATGAAGCGTGATCACTGGAGTGCCGGTTTCTGCAGCTGGTCTGATCCCTGGACCATGTCAGAATCATTTATCTGCCTGTATTTATGATGCATGGTTGTCTCAACTGGAAATTTTGTGAGTTGCTCATTTTTAAGCAGCCAAAATGTTATCTTAGTGATATTAGACTGCAGAGTCCGTGCATACTGATGTTTTGGCCAACCTACCCTTACATATTTTTTAACCTTAGAGGTTCTATATCACTTCACGGTTTATTTATACACATACTCACGCACAAGCAGCCATTCAAAGCCCTGGCCTGGCACCGGGAACAGTTTAGGCTTCAGTATGTCTTCCAAGACCAGTCTGTTTTTTGCTTGTTTGTATAATTGGATTCCTTACAGTGGAAAGTCATGCTACATTAGACACAAAACAGGCCAGACACAGTGCTTTTCTATTGATCCTCCAAGTTTGGAGAGGAGATTTTCATCACAGAAGAGACCACTCCCTTCAGGAGGAGAATGATTCATCATAGGATAAAGGTGATATCTCAAAACAACTTTGTAGAATCTGCCTTATGCCTCTTTCTAAGGAGAAAAGGGACCCAAACAATGCCTGCATAATACCTCCAGAAGCATAACAGGGAGCAGCCACTGACCTCCTCTCTGTAGGTGTCAGGAACTCATCAGGTATAGATATATCCCTGTTACCATGCTACAAAAATGTAACAAAAAGGTTGATTTAAACAATAAACAGCTAAAAGATAAAAATTCTTTATTCTGTTTTGCTATTGGATTTCTTTGTTATTCCATATTGGCTGAGTGAATATCAGTATGATCAAATTCATTTGGCTGAATGCACTGATACTATCAAACATACCCATCATGATGATGTACCAGCATCATCTTGGTTCTTTTAAAGAGACAGGCACACTTTGTGCTGCCTCCCATCTCTTCCTCTCTCCCAGCTTTTTTCCCTCCAAAGCAGCGCTTCAGTCTGCTCACCCTGTGCACTGATGTAGAGCGAGGCTGCATTAAGACTGGAAAGAGTGGCTCCCTTTTTTCACTCTGATTTGATTTAGGTTGGACTTCTTATGTAATGTAGATTTTATATAACAATGGCTTGAAAATATATGTCAGAGGGACACCATGGGCAATGCAATGCAGAGCGTTTATTAGTCGTTGAGGGACACACTCACACAGACACAGAGGCGTGCACACCCTCACTCTGTAGCTCCTGCAGAGATCTTCCTGCTTTGGCAATGCTGAGTCTGACTAACAACGATGCAGTTCTGCAGAAAGGTGCTTTGCCGGCCGTGTAGTGCCAGAGTCACTTCACCAGAGGAGGACATGGAATACAAGATGGGGAGCTGCATCGGAATCCCACACGGCAAGGTAAACAGAGGATAGGTGGAAAACTGTGGGGCTGTCAGAGAGTGGCTGCAGCATTGCATCCATGTCTGTGGGACTGAGCAGGGGATAGCATGGGAGAAGAAACATAGCCGGTTTTACTGGTCAAGTGCTGAGTCTTTACTGAGGAGAAAGCGGGGAGAGGGAAGGTGCATTCAAGTGTTGGAGGAGGGGCGATGTCAGCAGTAAAAAAGGAGCTGCGGAGACAGATCAGGGAGTAGGGAAAGGAGGAGCTGAGTATAAACGTGAGAGTGTGAGGCTGATCGTAGACGAGGAAAGATGGGAGACAGACTGACAAGAGAAGGGATTGTTTACGTCTGCAGATTCATTTAGTCCACAGCCTACAAATAAGGAAAATCTATAACAAGTGTGTTTGGTGAACAATGCGTGTACTGTTATTTATAGGGATGATGCTATCAGCACACGCTGGGGCGCTTGGCTGAAAATAGCCTTTGAATATGGCAGATGAGAGGATCCAAAAAACATTTAAAGCCTCTCTGTTGTCAAATCTGTAACTTGAGCTCCTGTTTGTTATTCTTCCCATCTGTCAGGTTGCTGTGTGAGTGTGTTGGTGTTGTCCTTACACGTCAGTCACAGGGAAATCTACAGGGAGGTGTTGGTCTTAAAAGAGGATCACCAGACTGAAATCGAGGGGATCAGTAGATGTTAAGGTGTAGATATTAAGGGATGCTACAGGTGGTTTGGACACTTTAACGCCATCTGCAGCCTCTTACGTGACAAGTGAGGTCTGACATGCCGTCCTCCTCTCCATAACGTGCGTCTTTGTTTACAATCCCTCGGCCCACTGACTCCCTGAGCAGACATGGCTTCCCCAGCTCCAGTTCGGTCTCCTCCCCTCCCTCCCTCCCTTGATCCTGTCCCCACTTCTGTCCCTGTCCTGCGTCCAGTGCAAAAAATAGCAACAGAGGAACCGGGGCTCCTCAGAAGACAGGACAGAAACACTGGCCTTGAGTCTGACAGTAAACACAGGTTGGAGGGGTTTGTCAAAGCTGGGGGGCACACACTGTAGCAGAAAAAAGACTTTTGTTTGGCGTGGTGAGTAGTTTTTTTGGTGAGTTGCAGCTGTGTTAAAACTTTGGATTATATTACGGTGACATTGTTAAAACCTGTACTGAGATTAGTGTGACTGTATTCGATTAAGTGTGAGTGTTTACGGTTACTGGTGGGCATGATGGTGAATATGGGTTTAATCACAAATGTATCAACTTTATATGCACATCAATGCTTTGCAAATTTATGAGAAATTATGTGTTGTGTTGTTTAGTTTGGCGGTTTGTTTACCCGCTGATGGACAAACTCATATTTGTCTGACCAAAGACATTCATGGCACTGAGCCAAACCCGTGAACTTAAAAGATTACTCACGTTGAGTGATGGTCAGGCCGTGATGAGGTGAGAAGAGACCTGGCATCAGCCTAATCACATGATTTCCCCTCAGTGCTTTCTGGGCTGCCAAAAAGCCCCGAAACACTGCTGACACTTAAAGTGCACACGTGTCACTATAGGGGCTGAAATTACACCCCAATCACACAAATAGCAAGCAGGCGAGCAGGGCCGATAAGCTGCCACAGCACAGAATAGGTGTGATTTAATATGTGAGGATAGGATGTCCATTTTGTCTTTTATTTTAATGTAAAAATGTGAGACAAAAAATGATTTCAGGCCATGCTTTCACTGCACGGATGGACTATATGGCCTCTGCGTTCTTTTGGAAATGTAGTTTGTGTGACAAAATTGTGCATAAGACTGTAATAAACGCCAACAGCAGTGAACAGGGCAAATATCTATTTATAAAGTCTTGCATATTCAGGTCAGTGCTTTCTGACTAAACACAGAGCTACCATGCAGTCCCTGCAGTCATACAGGGAATGCATGAACGGCCTTTCCCTTTCACGGCTCAGCTGCATTACAGACAACGCAAAAGTATCCTCACGAGACAGGGAGATGATTGTGAGAGAATATTTCTGCATCTGATGTATCCTCCAATGTGCTGATGCATGGATGCTCTGATGCTGGGAGTCCGTTTGTTTCATGTCTTTTAGACATGAGGTTATACAAAGTTACTGCAGCTGGAGATTAATCTGACTAATACACATTTTTAGAACAATTAAAAAAAACAATTCAACTGTCCTTCTACCAACGAAGCTCCAGCTTTCCCACATTTAAGGCCACATCAGCAGACTTGAAACCTGCACTTTGGTCTTGGTGTAAGGTTCTTGCATCAGACGTCCCTAATCTCTAAAACAACACGCACTTACAATTCCCCCTCACTCCACGGAAGTTTAACCTCATACCAAAGACTTTTAATCCTGTGATGCAGGAGTCTGTGACTACTGAGGGACGGCTGTTCAGACTCCAGGTCTCCTTGTTGACCACAGGGGGGTAGCTGTACGCTGATGGTGTCTGTGTTGCTAGTGTCTTACAGCCAGCTGATGTGAGAGGCTGTTGCTCTGGGCAGTTGTGGCCCTGCAGCTGGGTAAGCCATGGGGAACGAGAGCAGCACGACTGAGACATTGGTAAGGGCAAGCTTGCAGACGTTGGATAGATCTCTACTTGCTGCTATGCACACCTTGAGCTCTTTTGACTAACACAGTCGCATGATTACTAACTTTTTGCTTTGGTGAAATACACGGGCTTTGCTGAGGCTTGTCTAATGAGCATTTAGATAAGATAACATGGCTTGTCTTATTTTGTGATTTACCCTCGTAAAGCTGCGATTTATCTAACGATAAAGATCAGATGTGTTATTTAATGACTCACAGCATGTGTCTTAATCTATGCCCATTGCTACACACCCTAATAATAATTCATGCCTTTATGATGTTTAGAAGGCCGTTGCGTGTCTCATTATTGCAATGTTGCTGTTCTGCACTTCTAATAACAAAGACAAACATACCAGAAAAAGGACACTTATAGAAAAACGGGAATTTAAAATGTGACTGAAGGACTTCAGAAGTGGAATTCTGGATTAACCTAATAGGATTAAATTAAACATTTGACTCATGAGCTATATGCTCCAGCACTAAGTACTCACAGACTGACTGAGCTTAACATGCTACTCCCCTTAAAAAAATAGTGGCGAGTTGTTTTTAGTGCACTCTGCATGCAACTGCTTCTATCTAATGTAAAGTTGTTCCTTTAAAAATCTCTTTGTGAACCATTTCATTCCCTCGTTACAGCCAGAAGAGGGCGCTGCAGAAAATGTTGTTCTGTTGCCACCTAAGGAAAGTCAAAATGACTCCGTGCAGGTACAATGTGTGTGTGTGCGTGCGACTGTGATAATATTAGCTTGTGTGTGGGTACGATATTTGTAGTGCTCACAGGTACGGATGGCTGTGGTTTTTGTTTTTGTTTTTTTTTGTTTTTTTGGGGTGGGTGGGGGTGGGGGGTTATCACCAGTCAAACTTTCATCATGATCAAGTCACCATAACCATTCATGCGTGAAAGGTGAAAGTTGTTTTTTTCATGGTAAAACCTTTAAAAACAGTGAACTTTCATATCAGTATGTTTAATCGTGTTGTGATGACTCACTTGAACCTCATCGAAAGGTCATATTTAAAGGAGGAAGCTGCGGTCAATGCAGGAAGAAATTGTGGCGCACATTCACAAGTTTTTTTTACTACTCAACTACTATTGTATGATGTGCAATGAACAATGTAATGAACGTTTATGCATATCAACATTATTTAACATGTTTTCAATGGAGTGTAATATTAGACGGAAAAGAGGAAAAAAGAAAAGCAAGAACATCATAGCATTTATCATTTTAAAGATTTGATATACAATTTAAATTTGTTCACGATAATTTGAGGCGTGGTTTCATAATTCTGCTGTCATAAGAAATGTGGCTATACACAAAATAACATTACAGCACAATTAGTCATTTTTGTTTTATAAAATCAGTCCAAATCAGATTCTTCTTGGTTGTTATTTTTATATTTTCATTATTATTAAACTCTAGTCTTATGTCAGTCAGAATTTTAAAATGAGTCTGTTGATTGAGTTTTTATTAAATTCTTGTTTTGTCTTCTGTGGAATAGTTTATCGAATAGGAGCTGTTGTTAAGTTTCTTATCTAGAATTGACATCCCTTGATTGACAGCGGGGTGAGCTGTGGCTCTAAAGGGCATACATGCCCACGTTTACGTGTAACCACAGCTTCCTAGAGCGTAACCTGATCCTCTCTTTGGGGGTCACTGCAGGCCTGACTCTTGGCCCAATTCCCAGCATTCACCTGCAGAGGCACTGTCAATGCTACCAACCACAAGACACAGCAGCAAGAGAAAGGGGGAGGAGGTGAATAGGGAAGGAAGGAAAAGAAAAGAGGGAAAGTTCTTAGACTAGGAGGAGGAGACAGAAGGAGAGCTGAGTGGAAAGAGTTTACAGTAGAGGGGGAGGAGAATGCTCAGCACTTCCACGAGGCCAGCGCAAGTCAAGTTAGTCAGTCTCAGCAGCAGCAGCAGCAGGTTTGGTAGTGTAGTGTTTCTAGAGACCACACACACACATACACACACTGGAAGAAACAGAGGAGGCTCATGGAAATTTAAAGGGGGAGCGGCAGTGACTCTACAAAGAGGACAGGGCTGTGGAGAGGAGGAGAAGGAAGTACAGGAGAGGAGGAGCGGGAGCGTCAGCAGCATGTGTTGCAGCATGTTTGTGTTCTCGACTGCCTTCCTTCAAAACACAGAGCCCTGCAGAGCCTGCCTGCACAGTGTGAGCATAGTATAAGGGTAGCAGAGGAGCTGCACTGCACTGTAGAGTCACCTTCAGGACAGTGGAGCACACTGCTGGGTAAGTGCAAGAGAGATGAAATGAGATAAAGCTCGTAGGACGTGCAATCAAAGGTGTGTTTTATACAGGAGGGTGGATGGAGTGGATATGTTGAGTCGGTTATGTGTGTCTGTGGGTGAAGAGGGGACCTGTTCCTTCTTCAGCACTCCTCTTTCATGTTTACAACAGTCATGTGTGAAGCATTAAGGCGTTTTTTCCAGGGCTCGAGCATTGACGTTTTGAATAGAGAGTATTTGCTGCACAGGCAGTAACAGCCAGTCAGCCTCGCTGTCTCTCACTGTTGCTTTTCGTTTAGTTTCTGTGGGTTAAATATTAACAAAAGGTGCTTTCTGCGTAGGGATCGAACAAACGAAAAGAGTAGGTTTGATTTTCCACCTTCTTGACTTTCCACATGTGACCCCCACTCATGACCTTTTAAGAAATGTTGAATGAGTGTTTGCTGTAAACTTTGGCGTGCTTTTCCTCGTCATTCTCTCATTTGAGAAAAGGTACGGGTTGTATGTTTTCTGTCTTGTGCTTGACAGGCAGGAAACAGGAAACTCGACACATGGCAACATACAGTTTTCTCATGACTGTGCTGATCCCAGTGTGCATCACTGTTAAGGTGTGAAGGAAGTGTTTTAACACCTGATTATATAACATTAATCCAGAAAATAGGAGCAGCAGGGAGATCACAGACATTCAGAGTGACACTCATACCTGCAGCAGGTCTTTTTTTTTTGAATCCAGTTTCTTTTAATGTTTTAGCTTCTCTTCTGCAGCCAGTTGTGTAGCTGGGTTTCTTGCTACAACAAGAAAAAAAGAGTTTAAATTAGAACATTTAAAAATAAACTAAGATTGCATGATACCATTCTTGTGCAAATGCCTTTTAAAAGCCTAGCACACAATTTTTGTGTGTGTGTTTGTGTCTTCATACAAGCACATTCTGTGCTTAATATGTCCCACAAAGGAGGCTCTTTGTGGTCACACAGGTGAGGCCAGTGACTCAGAGCCTGCAGCACAAATTTATTTGTTAATGTGTCTCCAGTTTCCACATTAAGGAAATACAGCACTAAAGCGAAGCTCGAGTGTAAGTTGGTGTTTTTCTAGTCGGTCTTGAATATATTTTTTTGTTTCTGGCTTGAAATAGTTTGCAGCATTACTGTAATCACATCATATGAGTGAAGACGCTAAAGCAAGTGTATATAAGGTAAAACTTGCTCTCGTATAAGTGCTACATTGAATTGATTTAACCTTCGTTTCTGCTTGCAATGACTGCACGCCGGCTATGAGTGATTCATGAATAATCAATGTGTTTTAATACTGAATCTCAGCAGATCCTCAAAGGATATCATTACCACTGTGTGGCTGTATCCATACTCACATGTAAAATTAACTCACTGGCTAAAATCAGGATCTCTGTGTAAAAAAGGAAACACTAAATATAACAGGCAGGGCTGTGTTAGATCTCTACATCTGGACACACGAAACAAATGAAAAGAAATAAGAAAAATAACCTCCAACTCTCCACCTCCATCCACAGACAAGAGCACCCCAGCTCTATTGCATTGCAGTTTAGCTGAGTGTTGTGCACCGTGAGGCTGTTATTGTCCTCATGGTGAGCGCTGTGGCTGTGGTTATATCCTTTCCAACTGACTGTTTAACAATCAGGAAATAAAAAGCAGATGAGAGTTCAGATTATTTCATTTACTGTATTTCAGGTTGCTTGGAAAAGTGATTGGCTCAGATAAAGACACATCTGAAGCACCTAGTCGCTGAAGGTGTCATCCAAAATACCTGCTCTTGTCTGTGCTGCTTAATTACGCTTGTCACCATCCAGCAAAACTGGTTTGGCTTTAATGATTATTATTTCAACACCTTGGGAAAAAATACATTTGTATTTCCTCAGAGGTGTTTGTGAGGTGGAAAATACTTCCGATGACAATATTTTTCAATTCATTAGTTGTTTTTCTGTCCCATTCAGAGGACATGCTCAAATGTGGGGTGTAAACAAAGCTGCAGAGATTAAACTGCAGTGAGCCGGGATAAATGCTAGGATTTAATACTGGAAATAATCTTTTAATAGCATAAGAAAAGCAAGTTGAGAGACGTATCAGATAAGACGTCTGGGTGGAAGGACGTAGTTCAGCCAGTGTGGCCTTTACATTATAATTCAAACAGAGTTAACGGAGCAGATAACAGAGTTATCTGCTCATGTGATGTCTGGCTTTGAGCATTAATTTGTGGGTGTTCCCGTGTTTGCCCGCGACATGATCACACTTGCTTAAGTATACACGTGTGTGTGTGTTGTGTGGCAGAGACTCCCTCGTGTAGCTCACTGGTATCCTTCACCGTTCCTGCAGGCTGAAGCTCGAGCCGAGAGTTCGACCCAGAGGGACGACGGAGCGCTACTGACCGAGGTTTCCACCAGCCAGCACAGCCTGCTGTCTCAGCCCGTGCTGCCAGACATCCCAGTCATCACCGGGGTGGAGGAGAGCCGAGGCACGACCGCAGACCAGGAGGACAAGGAGGAGCTTGAGTTTCCTCACGACCTGCTGCCCAGTTTAGATTTCAGCAGCGAGCTCAACATCTGGGAGTCCTCACTGGGGTGAGTGGAGGGGTTACACACACATACACACAGACTTTTACACTTCAGAAAACATAACTTCCTGGATACTTACTCCAACTCTAACCATAATCACTACTCCTCTAACCTGAAGCCCTGCACTCACCCTAAACAAAATCTTCCCCCTTAAATTGAATCTTTCATATAATTGGTGACATCTGGTGGCGTTACATAACAGATCTGCGCCCAAACACAGACTGTACTTGTAACACCGCAACCATTTTGGGATGGCTCCAAGTTATGCTGATTTACAGAAGTCCTTTTAACTAGTCTGACTTAAGAATTGAGGTAATGCTTTGGCAATTTGTTTTGCTTTATCATGCATAATCAGATGAGGATTATCAGGTTTGATTTGCTGCTACAAGTGGCAAAAAATCATTGAGACAGAGCTGATTCTTAGTGTTGGTGGCAGAATCGACAGTGCAAGATTAAACCTGGCAGTTTTGTTAATGTCATCATAAACATCAGTGACGATCACAAAATGAAGAAAGACTCATTCTAGAAAGACTCTTTAGTACTGAGGAATGTAAACGGCTACAATTGTTTGGTTTCTTTGTCTACTCGCTGATAAAAGTAAGTATCTTCTTTTTCCATTAGTAACAAATAGGCCTCATAAATTACTACCCACGCATTTTTTTGCTGGCTTTGTGTACCGCAGGTGATTTTAAAGGCCTGAAAAATGAATTTTCCTTTTTCTCCTTCTCACGACTTAAACAGATTCGTGTGTTTGGGATATTTTTTTGTCATAACTTTCTGTTTTTTCTAAAGTTTCTCTTTTTCTAGTTTAAAGTGAGCAATACTGAAAACATATATCTCCGAAAAGAAGAATAGAAGTTTGGGGAAAATATCAAAATAAGCTGACATGTTAACATATTTTCTTATATTGCCAGAACTGTCCATCAGTTGTTCCTAATACTTCTCATAATAAATATTAAATGTAGATTCAGTTTGCCCTTAGAGCTTTAATTGTCTGTGTAATAATAGACAATTAAATATATACCCGATCAGAATGCTCTGTTAGCTGGAACATCTGCAGTTTCCATGTATTTCCTTCATCGTTACATTTTTTTACATTTAAAGGGAAAAGGGGTCCAACCCTGGACTAGCAAGGAGTAACTAATAAAGTGGCCAGTATGTGCATACACTAATAATACTGTATAATACGTTAAATATTACGTTTTCTTAATTTATGGCTGTGAGGAAACACACTTGTAGTTTAATCAGAGTGAAAGCAAACCTGTTGTTGATTTGCTTCATATGTGAATATGTCTGCATATGTGTGTGTGGGTTTGTGTTAGCAGAGCTAAAACCAGCTCAGGTGACAGGAAATGTGAACAGGTGAACCCCCTGCTGGCGGGTCTGCAGCATCACATAGAAGTCAGTCAACCATTGCTGTTTCAAGATACAAGGTACCTCATAGGTTCAGCATGATGATGGCTAGACGGCTGTCCTCTGTGTTGTCAGCAGAAGACGTGGTGATAAAGAGTGATATTAGGGAGCATGGAGAGGAACAAGAAGATGGCAGGGTGATCTAATGTTTCTAACTTATGCTTGAGCGTGATGGGTATGATTGCTGTGGCTCTGCAGCAAACACGCCTTAACATGGTCTGATGTGGTCAGTGTTGCCTGACGCCTGCTTTTATCTAAAGTTAAATGCACTAATTCTTCTGATGTTTTGATGTCTTCTGTCAACCAGAAGTATAAGTATCATTGCTTGATGTGAATTTGTAAAAATGTACAGGTAAAACAAGTGAAAAGCTTTGAATAACTAGAAATATCAAAACTTCAGAAAGGACAAATCATTTGAAAAAGCAGAGTTCCTGCTAAAACTGGACACCTGCGCACGGTTTAGTCTGTTTTGCTTCTCCACCCTTTAGCAGAGACTGCCAAGTGAACATGTGAGGACAGACGCTGTGTTTACAAGGATTTGGCAGAGTCCTTATGCAGATGTCATGCGTGACTGTGTTAACCAATCCCTCGTAGTGATCCTCGGTGATATTCCTACTCGCTTTATCGGAACTTCTTTAGAAAAGAATGCGTTAAAATAACGAAACTTGAACGGACCATGCTATGACGATTATAGCTTAATAATGATGGTTATTCTCTGTAGTCAGACAGCATGAAAGATTAAAATGGTCCCTCATTTTCCTTTAATGCAGGTAATGTTTTCGCAGTGACTCAGCAAGTTCGGATGAATGGCATTAAAGTAGCACGAATGCTAAATTATGGGCTATAAAACTGTTTCCAATAACCCAGAAACTACCCATCACTGTAATCAGGATGAATGACTTGACACTATTTCTCATTATATATAATCAAACTAATGTATGATGAGACTACAGTAAATAATTTATAGTTCCAATAAGAAATTAAATCATTTTAATTAGATGATAAATTACGCTAGGCTTTTAAGCTTTTGATACACACTTAAAATAAGAAAGTCATACCAAAATACTGAGATGCTGAAGGCTCGTAGCAGCAGGGTTTGAAATAGGTGAGTAAAACTGCACAAATGCTACTTACTTCAATGTGTTTTGGAGTGCATGTCTATTAACAACCGTCTTGTATTCTTAGAAATGGCTGATATTATTTCTTGTAAGAGAATCTGTTTGTTAGAAAAGGCATCCCGGGTGCAGTTGTGTGTCATCTGTGCATGTCACAGAGTGCTGTGTCAGAGCATGGCCTTCTACTGGGCAGCTGTTTCTGTGTACTCCTAACTCTGTCACCCTACCCTTGCCTCAGGCCTCACGGCTGCGACCCACTTGTCGCAGATGTCCAGCTCTTAACTCAGCCTGCTGCCACACCTTATCCGGGTAACAGACCCCTGGCCCCTTCCCCATCCACATTCTTAGACCGGGAACTCCAAGAGGCCTTCCAAGAATGTGAAGAACAACTGGTGTCACTGGGCATAGTCACTCCCACTCAGCCTTGCAGCCCCGAGCCCGGGACGTGGTGCAATGAAGGGAATACAACCGGAAAAGTGATGGTTAACAAGTCCAGTGAGTCATCGTCTCCACCTCCAATCGTTGTCCAGCTAGGACATAGCAACGGGGGCCATGGAAACAGGAATGCACATGGAAACAGTGAGACAGCAGACAGTCAGAAGGATACAGTTGTGTTTAGTTTTAGGGATTACATACTAGGCACTGAGAATAATTATGGGACAGCAGAGACTGAAAACCTGAAAGCAGAAAAAGAAATTAAGACAGATGAAGAGAAGGAAGCACCCACGCAAATACAATTAGAAATGCCAACAGATTCAGCTGGAGAACAACCAAAACAGGCTGTGTTTAGTGATCATACAAACGATCTAAGACAGGGAAATGCTAATTCCAGTGCATCTGTGGGGGGGAGTAGCACTGTAGACTCTGATGTAGTGATTAGGAAGAAAGACACGGAGGCAAAGACAGACAAAGAAGAAAATCTAAGTGATGATTTCAGTGCTGCTGTTTGTTTTGAAACAAAGGTAGGTAATTCAGCTATGGAAACATCAGAGCGTAGCCCTCGTTTAAGGGATAGAGACGCATTACCAGAGCTGCAATCAAAAGGACAGACAGGAGCAGGCAAGCACACTGTGGAGCAGGAATCAGACACATACAAGCAGAGTTCAGCTGGCGATAAACAGGCCGCCCAGAACAAAGAGGCAAAGAAAAAGAGACACAGGAAAAAGAAAAAGATGGAGAAAAGCCCGGAAACTGGGCAGGAGGCACGCACAGCAGTGCAATCTGAAAATGAAGTCATAAATGCTGGAAATCCCACAGGTTCACCTTCAGGCCCTGTGATTTGTGGGCAACACCCTGACAACAGGCTTGATTACAAGGAGCAGCTTGAAGGAAAACCCACATCCAGCTCCCTACTATCATCTCCTCATAGCAGTCAGGATCATCTTACTCCCTCAGCCTGTTCACCTGCGCCCATGCGGGCTCTTTTGCAGAAGCCTCATCAATCAGACAACCATAATGATGCCCTAAGCAGCATAAATCAAAGCTCCAATGAAAGCCTGCAGTGGGGGCAACATGTAACCGGAGGTGAAACCAGCAACCAAAATATACCCGTGACACATGTCCAAAATACAGCGATCAATCAAGCTGCTTCTAGTGATAAGAGATCAGATACACAAACATGGCAGGCTTCAGTTACAGAAGCAAAAATACTCACACGCGAGAATCACGTCCCACTCTCCAACAGCCGAACTTGTGTGGGAGAGGGTTGCATGGAGAGCGTCCTTGAAGATTTAGCGGTGGTTACTGCGTTGCCACTGACAACACCCACACTGCCAGAAGTGATAGAAAGCGAGGGAGAGGGAGAACGCGTGAGGTGTGATTTAGTGGAGAGAGTAGCTGCTGGAGCAGTTGCAGAGAGTGAGGAAGGAGTAGGGGAGAGAGGGATAGAAAAGTGCCTCATTTCTGCAGACGGAGAGAGGGACGAAGTCCTGGGCAGCCCTTCTCGGCTCGCGTTAATCTGTTCCCAGGCAAAATGCTCACTTGCATTGTCAGCCAAAGAGGGACAGGCTGCAGCTGAGGAAAGCTGCACCAGCAAAATGCCACACAACTCGGCCGAGAGCGAAATCAAGGCACTGAGAGAGGCGACCGTTCGGAGTTCACGCAGAGAGCTGTCACCGGCCGAAGAGGGAGATGCAGAAAAGGAGCCACAGTGCTTAGAGGCTTTTATCAATACTTCTCCCCTTGGGCTACTTACTGGTTCTGATTGTCAGGATCACATTGCTGCGGGATCAAAGAGAGAAGGAGAGGGAGGAGGAGAGGAGGTGGTAGAGAAAGGAGGGCTGGTGAGAGAGCACAGTTCATTCAGCCAGCCAGAAGGCTCTGCTAGTGGGCTGTCATCTGCTCAGACTGAAAGGTGTCCGCCCACCGATGTTGCCGAGTCACAGCTGAAATCACAGAGCTGGAGGGAGCCGATCGCTACCATCACTGAGAGCATCTGCACCGAAGAGGAGCGTCTCTGTCGACCCCGCCGGGAGCACCGTGGCGCATCAATTTCACCTCTCCTCCCTGACGCTGAGCAGAGCTACAGTAAAACAAACGGAGGCAGACGGGCCGATCTCGATCAGAAGTTAGTGTCAGAGGAAGGGCTGGCTCTGGGACGCACTTTTGAGGAGTCATCCGTCACAGAGACAAACTACAGTCGAGTCTTCCCGTCTTTAACCTCACGCCAGCCTTTGATCGCTTCAGAGCAAATCCCAGTTAAGCAACAAGCGAGCAACAATCAACAGGTTCAGCCTAGTAGCACAACAGAAGCAGGCACAGTCGAAAGTGCAGCCAAGCTTCAAGTCGAAGCCTATAGCCAGAGCAACAGTGGTAGCACCGCTATGTCTAAAGTTGGTGTGTATCTATGTGACAGGAGTGGAGGTAACAGAGTTCACTTTGTGGATGCAGAGAAGGAAATGGGCAGTTCCTCCGTGGATCTCAAGACCATGCCGGTGCCAGCTCTGGACTGTGCGTCTTTACCCCCGCTGACTGTTCACGAGCAGTTGCGTCATCCTGTTTTTGAGGCCAGCTATACTTTCACAGACTTTCTCAACTCAAAGAAGCCAGACATCCCTATAAATCCAGCTCCTACCAAGGATGAAGCAGCTGTGTTTTCAGAGGCGCAGAAAGATGTCTGTTTGGCTAAAGGGGACACGAGGACTAAAGAAACAAAGGAGAACATTGCCACAGATCAATCACATAGTGACAGTTTGAAGACAAACACTGTAGATTCACAGTCGGTGAACAGCTCACAACAGCTTCCACGTCCTGCTGAGGCGACTCAGACTGGTAATAAAGGGTGCTTTGATGTTTTACAACCACCAGGAAGTGCCAGCTCTGAGTCAAATCATCTGACATTTGAACTGGTCACAGCAAAGGCAGAGGCGGAGACACAGAAAGATGCTGCAATTGTGTGTTTGCCCAAGGAGGAGGAGGAGATTAAGAAGGTGGTGGCAGAGTCTAAAGGTACAGCTGACATTGACCAGCCTCAGGAATCACCTTTAAGTGCTACTCCTGTCATTCGTGAAGAAAACATAGGGAACCAGCATAACTGTGCACCTTTAAGTGGTGTTGACACAAGTTCAACATCTGAACCTGTGACCTTGACCTGCGCAGCTCCTCTGCAGATGAAGCATTGTGACCCAGCTGATCAGCCTGTTATGCAATTAGGTGAAAAACCTCCTAACGAGCCAGTTAACCCAGATTTTACGAAGGCTGGGGAAGGGCCCAAGTCCCCCATCGGCTCTGCCGATCCCACAAAGGACGCGTGGGTGACTTCAGAAGTGACGGCGTCTGACGAGTCAAGCACGTTTATCGGGCAGTGTGTCAGTAATCCTGCTTTTGAGCTGCAGCCTCCTGGCCCAATGTTGAGTCACCTGGAGTTCGTTACCGACTCTGATGCATCTGTCTCTGAAAAGGCATATAACTGCAGTGCTGATGGTGACAGCAGCAGTGTCTCCAGAGAGGTGGATGCCCATAAGAGCCGAGAAGTGACACACACTTCATTAGCACAGCATGCTGAGATCGGTGATGTCTATGTTAACGCTAATGAGGTCTTGCCAAAATTGGAGAATTTAAATTTTGATACTATGGAGTCTGCTGCTACCAGTAATGTAAATAGTCAGTTATCACAAGAGGAAAATCTGATTCCACCTCAGCCTCCCAGCGATGCACTGACAAGAAATAAACCTGCTAATGTAATTCCTCTATCTCAAACAGTGCCGGACTCTGCTGGCATTAAACCTATTATTTGTGAAGCCGCCATTAGGGATGACATCACAAATGTCAGCTACCCATTTAACTCCGACCTGCCCGCCGACGAGGTTTATGATACAATTAAAGGGGACAATGTGAAAGAAAAAAACATAATTGGAGATCAGACCGCCATGTTGTTTGAAGAGCAAAAGAAACAAGCTAAAGAGGCAGCAATGGATAATCAAAAGGAAGCAGCAGACAGCAACAAGCAACAGACAGGAAAGACAGGCACAATGCCACAACAGAATAATGAAGCAGATAAAGAGACTATAGAAGAAATTGGAGCCCTGCAGCCACCACACGCACATATTGGACAAAAGAGTGAATCGTCATTAAAGGATGTGAAGAAGGAAAAAGAAATAAAGAACACTTTTGAATCCAAAAGCGAGACAGAAACTTGTTCCTCATCTCCCAGCAGATTTCCAGGGTCATCCGAGGACGTGCTGCGTGCTGACTTAGAGTCTAGTAGCGAACCTCTGACTGTTTATGATTCCAGTTTGCGCCAAATTCCGACAGCAGCGCTGGAATGCAGCTCTGACTCTGCACCAGATTTGCGTGCAGCTCTTGGCCAATCACAGTCCACACCAGATCCAAATTGTTTTGCTCAGCAACAGGAGCACCATCACCAGTATCTGGGATCCAGACATCTCACAGAGGCAATGTCAGGTGGCTGTCTAGAGGGGGGAGAAAAGGCTAACGATCAGACCCGGACACTGGTTAAGGGAGTAAAAGGAGGCCCAGAGGAAGGAGACAGCTCTGCTGGGGATATTTGTCAGTCAGGAAGCAAGGATGAGTTAGCAGGTGATGCCAGCCTGAGCAATGAAGGGGTGATAAAGTCAGTGAAAGGCGAGGATGCTTCACTAGAGGTTCATAGGTTGCCATCTTCCCTTGATTCAAATGAAATTGATGGGAGAAATGCTTCACCTGATGCAGGGATAGCAGCAGGTTACTCTCCTGTAAGTGAGACAAGTCAGGAGACAGATGAGAATGAAAGCCCAGGGTTAGAGGGGTCAGGTAGAGATTTAATGCCAGACACTGGGTTTGTGAGTGATCTGAGTGATAAAGATCAGCAAAAATGTGATCTATCAGCTGTCTGTCAAGAGCAGAGTAGAAAATCCGAGCTGTCAGAGAATCTGGCTGTATCTGTTGAGCCTGTTTCACAGGAACACGAAAGCTCATCTTTTCATATTCCCATTTTAACTAAAGATAGCACAGCTAGTGATGCTATTCATGCAGATTTTTCACCAAGTACAAACCAGGCTGATGAAATTTCTATGCACACATGCAGCTCTCTGCCAGATCCTGCCGCGCATCCAGAAACTGGAGGAGAGGATTTCAGTGCTGCCGTGGCTCTAAAAAGCACCGGTAGTGTAAGCGTTGCGTGTGAAAGTCTGGATACAGTGTCCAGGCCTCATGAGCTGCAAAGGCCCAATAAAACCTCAGCCACACAAAACAGCCCAATAGAACAAACACCCATAAAAGGGCCTGATGTTGAGGAGATGACAAAGGAAGATAAAGAAGCCTTGGATGAAGGGAATGTTAGCGAGCAGGGTGAGGAACAAAATCGGCTAAAAGTCATAGATGGAGGGGCTTTTGGAAAGCAGGGGGTGGTGCATTTAGCAGGAAGTGATAAAGAAATGGGCTCGGGATCAATCCCCGTTTTAGGCAACTCCCAAAGTGGGGAGGCACAGATTAGCACGGAGGTTGCTGTTTGTCACTCTGATGGCAACACTGGTCCTTGTAAGGCAAGAGAAAGTGACAGTGATGCAACAGAAAAAATGACTGCGGATGTTGACACAGGCCCATCTGTTGTTTCATCAAAACGCCTAGAAGATTTCGAAACTCTGACCCACTCAGAGAAACCACAAGATGTGGTGCCACTGTCAAAGCCCCCAGATGACACTGTGGTTAAACCCACTGCTGCTGCTTCTCGGTGTGAATCAGAATCACTCGATAGAGCTCCGGCCCGCCGCCCTCCTGCTGAACAAGTAGGAGCTGCTGAAGCAGACACAAACTGGATAAAAGCGCTCAGGGAAGCTGCATCCCATTCTCAAAGTGAACAAGTGAACCCAGTGGATGCCTTAAGGTAAACGAAAGAGCGTGTGCTTATTTAAAATGATCATATGAGCCAAATATGTTAAGAACTGCAGATCAGAGCAGCACAGTCAGAACCTCACAGTGATACAGATGTGTCATGTTGCATGTTAAAGCTCAGCGTGAAAAGGCAAAGAAAATAGAAGGAGGAAAGGAACAAATTATGAACTGGACAAACAGCTACATTTTTCTTTTTGTGTCTTTTACCAAAGATTTCTGGCATTTTGTTCCCCTAACTTAGCATTCAAGTAGCACCATGTTCAAGGCTTGTTTGAAGGGATATTACAGAGAGCAGTGTGACAATGAATATGAATGAGGAGGTAAACACAGAGCTGCACTTTGTATTAACTCGAGCTCGGGTCAGATGACTGTGCCTGTTGAAGGCTAATGGAAGTAATGCAGCCCTTTATATTCAAAGAGTGACATCAGCCGTGACATCGTCCCTGGTCCCCGGGGCAAGAATGAGCCTTTTCTTACAGAAAACACACTGCTCAACACAATACAACAACATACCTAGAGCACTTCACCCACACACATCCTCTTGCTCACACACACATTTTTGATTTGTGAGTAATTCCTCGAGCATGTGCTATAAACTAAACAACAAACCCCCCACCCTCTTCTCTTCTTTTTCTCAGACCCTTTCCATCTCTGGAGTCTCCTGAACAAGAGTTTCTCACTCCGACTGAGGAGATAGCAGCTCCCGTGAGACAGGAGAAGACCCCACCACCAGAACTAGCAGCGGAGGAGACAGCAGAGATCCCACCTGTGAATCTTGTGAAGAAGCCAGTAGACCTTCCCAGACCTTTAAAAAGGGCAGGAGATCTCCTAGAATCAGCACATGAGATAGCAGAGCTTTCCAAACCACCGCAGAGTATAAAAGTAGAAGAAGAAGAAACAACAAAGGCAGAGCTTCCAGAATTAGCCAAGAAAGAAGAAGAAGAGCATCTAGATGAGGTTCAAGAACTAAATAGGAAGCAAGTTACTTCAACAGAAGTAGTGAATGAGGAACAGGCAAGAGAAAGGACAGATGAGATCCCAGAACCAACAGCTAATGATAGTGAGCTCGTAGAACCAACAAAGTATGAAGAACCAGAAACAACAAAGCCGACTACAGAGTCCCCACAGTCAGAGGAGAAGCCAGTCAGCGAGCTGCCAGTGGAGCTAGTGGAAAAACCTTTAGACATCCAGCCTGTGGAGCCAGCTGAAGTCCTAGCTGAGGAAACTGCAGCGACAGAGGCTGTTCAGGATCCGGCTGCAGAGCTACGGGACAGTGGGTGAGTGTTTTTGCTGTCTGTATCACATGCTTGTCATATTTTTGAATTGATGTCCACAGTTTCCAGTGGAAACACCTTTCACCGCTTTAAGTAAAACAGCCAACTAATGTTTCCTTAGAAACTCCTTTAACCAACAGACTCGCTCTTCTTCACACCGCATTCGGGGTCTGGATTGAAGAAAAGACGTCCATTTAACCCCCAGCTGAACTGAAGTTTTTGTGGTTTAGTGATTTCCCAACTGGAGATCATTTATAATTCAAACAAAGGAGATTTTGTCATAACATTTCCTTTGTACTGATCTGTCAGATGCATTTCATTGGAGCGAACATGTGTGTAAAATAGGGAGCTTTGGGGGACATGTGCTTCACAGGTCAGCTGTGCATGCCGCACATTTAAAACTGATTTCCGTGTGCTTGGAAAACAACCTTGGTGCATTTGTTTTGGCTTTCAGACACTTCAACGGTGTCTGGGTGACTGTTCTGTCTACAGGGGTTTAACAGTGCCTACGAACTAATAAGAATCTCAGATGTATACTGGTTTATATGTAGTTGTTGAAATTTCCAAGTTAAATAAGTGCTGTAAAGCAGTGTATCAGTCAGTGTTAATGTAAGCATTTCAGCAGCACAAGTTGGACTGACTAATTCCTTTAGCGAAAAGCCCGATTTCTCACTAGAATTAGGTAAAAGCACAATGCTTTTCCATTTACCTCTCCGTGGGATCCATCCCTTTCGGCCTATCTTCATTAACTCCAATTCCCTTATTTGTCACTGTCTCCGACCACATGCCGTGGAGCCATCCCACATGCCAGATTAGCACTTGCTGTCTGTCAGTCTCAACACTTGTCCCATCACTGCTGTTGGATCCACACAGCATTGTTCGGAGCAGGAAAAAGGAAGAATGTTATTTCCCTGAGGTTTCATCAAAAGATACAGTTACTGTTGCGTACATGTGCCACAGAAACAAACGTGACAGCATATGATATACGATATGATACGTGTGTGTGTGTGTGTGTGTGTCTGTGTGTACATTGTGTTTTTTTTCTCTCCGCCCCCGAAGGCTGTCCGAGCTGTCAGTCCTACTCAGTCTGTGCGGCTTTGTGAACTGAAGCTTGTAGTGGGAGGAATTTGGGCAGGCACTCAGCCCCACTGAAGTCATTTGCACAGACCAGACAGAGTGGAACAAAAGCCAGGGTTCAGAGAAACACTCGAGCATGTGCTGCGGTGCGAGTTTGTTTGACAGAGTTAGTCTGAGAGTCAAAGAGAGAGGAGAGGAGGACTGGGACGTGCGGTCATCGGCTCCGCTGTTTTGGAGTTCAGGTCATTTCCATCGCTTACTGTAATTACTGTAACCTTTGAAGTCGTGTGATGGCTGAAATCTGGGTGAGTTGACAAACAGTAGCTCTGGTAGTTTTATGTGTGCATGTGTGTGCGTGTTTGCGTACGTCCTTCCAGGTGGATGCAGCAGATGGTCTGTAGGTAACTAGTTCTAATTATGCTCTGCCTCTGCTGACCTCACCAGATGGGTGGAGGGGAGGGAAGAGCAGAGAGAGACGAAGGGAAGAGAAGCTTTTCCAGAACTAAGTTGTGAAATGAAAGGTGCACCTCCTCCCATGTTAAAAGAAAAAACTCTATCAGGTTAGAACACGTTATGCTTCCTTGGAAATCTCCTCAGTAATGGTAAAGATCAACACTAACAATCAAAGTTTTCCATAAATCCGGTCTAAATCATAGCTCTGTGATTTAATAAATGTTTTTGGGTCTTCCAGGAAACATTGAGGGCTCGTGACTGCATTACATAAAAGTATCATATAATTTTTTTTTCTAAAAAGCAGCACAGCTTTTTTTTTTTCTGTTGAGGAACGCAGGAAAACAGCTGTGACTCTTTAGCCCAGAATGTGGGATATTTCTCAAAACAGAGGTAGGATGTCCTATAACCCACATTGTACTGTAAATAGATGTGTTGCCATGGTGATAGTAGGTTCATTTGCCTGTGCCAGCACAAGTGGAGTAAAAAAAACCCCACTTTCATGCCTGCTTAATAATACTTTAAGCTCAGCATTGGCTAATGATTATGAAACGCGCATTCGTGTGTTCTTAAACAGTCATCCTTATAAACACTCATTAAACACACTCTCTGGACTTTGTGTCTTGTTATTTCTTGTTGGTTGCTTTTAACTTGTGTGCGTGTGTTTGGCTTGAATGCTGTATTTGGCAAAGTCATGAGCATGGGCGTTAGAGGGTCGGTGCTTTTTTCTGAGAATTGTCATATCTGTGCTCTCTTTGAACTGCCCGTGAGGTGCCTTTGAGTAATGCGCACAGCTGAATTACTTACAGTAAACTCTGTATTGAGCAGACTCCAGGTGTTAATGCCAACAGTAGAACTAAGCTGTTTGATGTCTGGCTGTAAATGAGCACATGTGCTCCATCTAATTTGTTCATCCCACTCTGGAACGAGAAGCCTCTGTTACTTCATGCACGTTGGATCTGGAGGCAGAACCCGGCTGGAAATCTCCAGCTGTTAACCTGAGCGGGTCAGCTGATATTAGCTACATTAGAAGGCAGCGAGTCAGAAAATACCCCCCAGGACCGCTTTTGTCCAACTTCGGAGGCAGCAGTGAGCTTTATGACATTTCTATGCTTCTATTTTCAAACTGCATGTGCCAAGTTGGCCGCAGATGCTGGCACATGTATAGCTTTGGCCTTCTGGTGTAAGTTTCTAATTGTGGGTAAAAAAAAAAAGAGGAATGGGACCAAATTAAAAACAGAAAAAAATCTGATCTGAACCCAGAGAACATTAAAAATCATGTATGCATGATTGCATCAATTAGAAAATTCCCTGCTTTGTAGTGGAATGATAATAACCACACTGTTAAATGTAACCTGTAACTTGCTGCGCCCTTAAGAAAAGCACATACCCTCATTAAATGTTATTAAGTTCAGGCTTTGCTGCAGAGAGAGGGCGAATAACTGAGCTCTGTTTCAGTCTGACACGAGCTGGCAGGGGCATTTAAAAAGTGCAGCTCAGCAGATGGTTGAGCGTAAGCACACGATACATGTGCTTTACTTTATGGAGGCATTGTGAAGCTCTATTTTCCAGAAGCGACTACTGGGATATTTTTAGCACTAAACAGGAGGCATGCCCCAAGTGGGGAACAGCTGCAAGGGCGTCCATCGCCTTGCCTGTCAGATTAGAAGAGCCTACCACTCCTGATAAGCAGGGCCCGGATCAGTGCCAAATCCACTCCACCAGGTGGCTGATGATGACAGAGCCGCACTCCCTCAAATGGGTTACTTCTCCGTAGGGCAAGCATGGACTATCGTGTAAGGGGAGCGATGAGAGAGGTGACAAAACGTTCTTAGGATGGTTGGAGCGAGTCTTCTGTTTTTCAAGTCGCTGCTAGGTTTAAGTGATGGCACAGAACAGAGCGATCCTCCTTACATTTACTCTGCTCTGTGGTGAGTTTACTTCATGGGCCATTTGGATGGGAATTTGGAGAAAAACTGAGTGGGAACTCCGAATTTCCAAACTTGGCTTTCATGTTTTGGTCTGTTTGTTGATGTTTTGTGTTCCCTCCCATGCAGGCCCTCCTTCAGTGACAAAGTAGAGAGCGGTCACCTGGCCCCCGCCTCTCCTCAACCACTACCCTCCGATCACCACCTCCTTCCTACTCACTTCCGAGACACCGCAGAGTTCCCTACCTCCGTCCCCACACTTCCAGAGGGTCACACACTTGAAGCCCTACCAACCCCGCCTGCGTCCCCCTGTCCTCCTCACCCAGCCCCTGCCTCCCCTCCTGCATCTTCTGCTGACCCCTGTGAGGATGTTTACCCTGCTTCTGCACCCTGCCATGTCCCTTTAAGGTATGAACATGTGGCTGCTCCTGAATCTCTTCATCTTTTTGGCACTTGTAAAAAGGTGATGTGACTGTGTGTTCTCATTCAGTCCTTGACGTAGATTTGCTGACACTTGTCTCTTTAGCGTGCTTCACAAAAAGTAGTCTTCTCCTTATCCTGTTAACTGTCATTAGGTTCAGGTCAAATTACAGCATTAAACTGACATCTGGCACACTTGATTAACAAGTGTTGATTCTTAGAGGTACTAAACAGAAAACTAGTCAAAATCAATCATCTATGCTGTTCAAATATTCAAAGCTAAAGGACTATTTTAGCATTGTGGTTAATATTCTTATTTAGTTTCTAGCTGATTGTATAGAGACATCTGTTCAAGTAAACAGCAGGCAGGTGGTTTTGTTACTTTAGCATAAAGACGCGAGATGGGGGAAAGAAGCTACCTGTCCAAATATAAAAATCTGTCTTCGTATATCTTTGTGTGTTTGAATATGTCTTTGGTGGCTGCACACTTTTTTCCAGTGAGAAGTAGACGCACATCAAAAAAGACACTATTATACTTTGTGCAAACCAAGAAAAAAAAGATAAAATGTGTTGTTTTTTCTTGTGATTAGGGAGAACTGGGTTATATTTTGTGTCTTTGGGCTAAGTTAAGCTAACTAGCTACAAGCTCCTGCTTCATATTTACTATGAAGTCATATCTAATTGTCTGCAAGAAAGCATTAGGTGTGTTTGCTTAAATATTGATTTATTCCTATATGAAAAATTGTGACATATATTTCCTGACAGTGCTGACCATATATAGATAAATGATACACAGCATTGTTGACATTTTCTATATAAAGAACCACAGCTATGTGAACACCCAGTCTCATTACACCACTGACAAAATTACAGTATACTATTGCTATGCATGTCCACCACATGGACTCAAAGAAAATAAGATTTGCAAAATGTGAACTTAGTGGTCATGGAAAGCCAAATGCATACTGTATAATTGTGGCTTGTTAATGGTGAAAATAGCAGAAACCCCAAGACAAAATGTACCTATTGATGCTTAAACATTCTGCAGTTTTTACTATTGCAGTGCAGTCTGACCAAGTAGTCACTTAATGTGGTATAGCACATATCTTGACCTTTAACTGGCTGTTTCAACTTAAGAAACATTATTTTTCTCACTGAATTACTTGACACTGTGATTATTATTTTATTGTTTCAAGTATAGTTTATTCATTTAAACATTCCCCTGCAGCCGCTTTTGGCCTTTGCAACTGTATCATAGACTTTATTGTATTAGAAGGAATGACTCAGCCACTTTGCCTGTTGCAGTGTCATTTACCACCAGCAGAGGGTTTGCAGAGTCCAGTCTTCATGTTGTGTTGCCAGACTGTGTCTGCACTCTGCCGTCTGGATGCTGCAGTAACCTGGAGCACACATGAATACACCTCAGCTCTCCTGTGCAAGATTATGCACATGTGCTCAATTAGAGCAAATGACCAAACCTGTTTTCTGCACATTTGGTTGTGGCAGATGTAAACTGTGTGACTGTTCAGCTTTGTGAGCATACCCCTCACTAAGAGTTGATTTTGAGAATGCAAGGCGAGCATATTGATGCTACATTATTTATATCTGAGAGGCCTGCTAGATAGAACTGGAGAGGAGTGGAGCACCAGTGCGGTAACATTGACTGAATATTCTGATTGGATGCTCGAGTTTCTCATTTATCTGCACGCACAGCAACAGTGCCAGTGCGGCTGTATATATACAGTATATATATATATTTATTTATTTATTTATTTATTTATTTATTTATATTTAATCTGTAGATTGCGTTTTGAGTTATGTGCACTGCAAAAACACCTCTTAAACACAGATTATTATAGTATTAGAGTGCATGTGCCACACCCTCTCTGCTCCTAGACATTAATTTGACTTATACACTGGGCAGTATTAAAACTATCCTGGAATTGAAAATTGACCTTTATTGCTATGAGGTAATGAAAATGTCAATAAGTCAAAAAACAAAAACAAACGTATATTTTGTCCTTTTTTCATAAATGACTCAATGATTTTCATGAGTAATAATTATATCACTTTGAGATGAATGCAACAGAGCCAAAATAAATATTCTGAATAATTAATCTGTTAAAGACTCCCACACATATTAGAGACATGCTTTTTTGTGTGAAGTAAGTTCCTGACAGCTGACGGGATTCTGGCAAAAGCCCTAAAAAA